CAATCTTTCTTCAGTGAAGCAAATTTATTTTAGTATATTGAGCATAATTTGGGAGGGTTTTAGCTTTCATATGAGACATTTCTAAAACCAATCAATTAATTTAAAGTCAGGTTATAAGCTTTTGTTTCTACAAAATGGATAAGCGACAAGACTTTTGTCAGTGACTGTATATTCACTAGGACCACGCCAACAACAACATAGCGCTCTGTCTCAATCTACAATTGGCCCAGCCGGAACGGGACCCCCCTGTAGGGGTCTTATGACTGAAAGACAAAATAAGGGATGGGAGGGTGGGGTCAAGTTAGCCGAGACAAACTGGGATGATGGGAAAGGCTGCTACATATAGACTTCTGAGAAATGAGAGGCGTGGTCGAGGTGAGTTGTGGTTCGCTGGTGAGAGGAGAGGGCGGCTGAGGCGTGGTCCTGCTCCTGAATCTCACTTAATCATATAACTACATTTTGTGTATGAGTTGTTGCACAAGAACAGGCATTAGACTTGAAAACCTGTAAACTGCTGTTTCACCATGTGACAACCACTGACTCAAAACGGCAACAACATAAAATTTTTATTTCTCCAAATAACTTTTTTTTAAATGTTCTGCTATTCTGTGAACCCGTCTCCTACTTGTGATTCAGATGCTACTGTGCTGACTGTCTTACATAACTGTAAACCTTGACCTGATCTGAGGTCTGACTTGTGCTGTTTGCTTTGAGTTTGATCAGAGCGCTCCATTGTTCCTGAGGGGAGCTGATTTGGACTCGTTAAGCAAGAATGTGCTCTTGGCACGTTCACTATAAACACTTCATGGGCTTTTCAGATCATTTTCTTTTTGAATATATTCAACATGCGCTGTATAACATGTATAACTTTCCTGATTTCTCTTATGTTGTACATTTTAACAGTAATATATTAACCACGGCTTGTTGTGCAATCGGAAATGAGAAAAAGAGACTTTTTCTTTTGGTCAGTCTCATGCCTGAAGTTTTGAAGAGAAAGCTGCTTTAGAGCAGACAGATATAACATATTCCAAATGACTGTGATATAATAAGGAAAGGAAGGTTTTCCGATAACTTGTACATCTTATTTGAAAGTGTTTCCTGATAACATATTTTTGAGTAATGCATTATTCACATGATTGGTTCATGTTGGCTCTGCCATCAGGAGGCTCTGACTCTGAACCAGCTGATTTCAGATAAATTCACCCTGAGACTCTGAGCTTCTACATCTGATACACATATGTACATGTACCTTTCTGTCTGAGGCTTTCTGGTTTTAAATGACTCTTCTAATCTATACGTTTTAATTTTTTTGTAGAATAAAATTGAGAAAATAATTCCAGCACATATAAAGTGTCATTAAAACCATTTCAACCAAATTGAAAATTTGGTGTCAGTCAGGGAAACATTTTATTTCCAAAAAACGTGTATTATGATGAAGGACACGATGATGTTAGAATGAAATTTTATATTTATTTGCGGCAAAAGTGGTGTGCAGCATAAAACAACCTCATTCGAAGTTAGACACACTGTTGGAATACTGACATCTTCTGGACAACACTGGCAGTACAGCAAATATCCACCTGCTTTTTGCCAGAATTGGTCGATTCATAATGAGGGGCTGTTGGGGAACATGTGAAAATCAGGATAGAATGACTTCCTAAAGGAAAACACTAGAATTGTTCCTTTGTGTGGGAGTTTGCTGTTAAAGTATCACACCAGATTCTCCCATGCAGTCTGAAGGACTGACTCATCTGTAACTTAGTGGAAATAACCATTGACACATTGACACCAAGTATAAGACCAACTTCCTCCTCTTCGCCCACGGTTTAATTTAAATCTGTCTTATTCTTGTGAATAATTCTCACAAGATGCATTTGTGGAAAAACATGACGAATGTATGAGAGGCTCGGGTCTTGAATTGTGTGTGAGCTAAGGGTAAATGATGACTTGCATTTTAAAATCACTTCACAGTTATGAACTTGATAATAACAAATAAAGTATGAAGCTTTAGGTTTGCATTTAAGTTAAGTGCTCTAAGTTTGAGCTACTCCCTTTTTACAGATAAAAACCCACAGTTCTTATCACAGTACTCTGGTCTTCTTTATCTAATGGGCTCTTCCTATGAATTTATCTTGAAAATACATCACATTATACTTTGCAATAAAGTAGACAGTGACAATTGACTGTAAGTACTATAGCAGGAAAAAAGTTATTACTGGATAGTTCTTAGTTGTATTTGATGCTATAAATATATACAATGCAATATAGTGTCTAAATTCAATATACAGCATAGAGTGCCCATCTGTGATAAAAATGTGTCTGTCATAGCTTCTCTATGTTTCTCAAAACTGGTGTTAGATTTTTATCACACCAGCTTGCAATTGCTAAACTATTTGGTTGTGTTCAAGGCAACAATGTGTGACTTACTTCCTTAAAGTCATAAGATGCCAAGATAACACACAGGACTAGATCACTTAATAATTAATTAAAAGTTAGGAGAGGAAGCACACAGAGAAAGTGAGCACCCACCTTCTTCACACCCTCCTCTTCAAGGAGAGAATTTGCTCTGTAGTGATTTGCATATTGAAGTTTTTTTTTTTTGTTTTTTTTTTTGCAAGGTACCCTCATATTATAGCCAATACTACTCATGCAGGATTTGTACTAAAGGCTGAACTGTTTTGTTTTTGCAATAAAATGGAATCATAATGCATTTGAGTTGACAGCATTGTTCCTTTAAAGCCACAGTATGTAACCTTTTAGCCAAAAATAGACCAGATCTTATTTGGCCTGGAGGGAATGTTGTTTCTTTGGTTATTATATTCCACATGGAAAAAATGGTCTGAGAGGGGTTGCTCAAATTGCAAAAACTAATTTGACAACAATAACATGACTTTTTTACATTTCTCTGTCCAGCATGTTTAAATCTTACAAAGATTGCTTGATTGTGGCCGATGTGGGACCTGCATGTTTTAATCCCTCTGGAATTCTCCTCCTCAAAACTTTTGGAGGGAAAATTCAAATGTAACAGGACACAGGACAGTTACAGGAGCAGAGGACATGCAGTTTGAAGTTTGAGGATTATGAGAGCTGATTTGGACGTAAGACTTTTCAAAGATTTTATGTGCTTCTCTGGCTTAGAATGTCACCATTGTTAAAACATGTTTGTGGTGTTTTATTTGAAATTAGAGTTAATGTAAGGACTTTTTCTATGAAACAAATTGTATTTGACTGTACATCTACAAGAGGGTGACAGTTGTACTAAGATTTGAATGTGTTTGTTCCAGAGTCGTCTGCAAACAAGGAGTGATGTCCAGAGCTCTGCTGGAGCTGTGGGGACGTTCATGAATGTTACAGCTGATGTTTCAGAAAAAAGGAAGATGTTTGAGAACCAACAAAACACAGACCACATGACTTTAAACACATTTTTCAAAATATACTTCCTATTGAAACAGTAATCGTGTTTCTACAATGATGTGGCATTAGGAGGTCTTTATACCAGATGCCCTACCTGTTACTGCATTTAGAGGAAGAAAAGCAGCACATGGTGAGTTTTGTTTCTGCAGATACAGTTCTAATGTTCTTGTGATTCTGTTCTAGTCCATTATAGGTACTTTAAATGTATTTAAACATGTACAACAGAGTAGATCATCATAATGTAATCGTGTTATTCCTGTGTCCACAGGCAGAGACCAGAGCATCTTCACTGGAATAAATCTTCACACTGTCCAGCTCCACACTGTACTTGTGCTCTTTGTATGTTTGATTCTGTTAAGACAATACAGAACTGTGGAAAACTAAATACTATTTTTGTATTATTTTACAGAATTAGATCAATTAAATTAAATTATACATACTTATACATTTCACAATAAGGTAACATAAGATAAATATGCATATTCAGCATGATTTGATCAAATTTCATCAACATGAAAAAGTGACATTCATGTTTTGAGAAAAATATGTGTAGATGGGATCAAAATAAGTTTCAAAGCCTAAACATAATTTTATTGCATGCAACTGCTTTCCATAACTTTTTTACGTAAATCCAGCAACCTTTTTTTCAGTGCACAAATTATTCGATATACCTCAATTATACATGAATGTCCTGACAAAGACTGCAAAAAGTAGAGATAAATGCAACACATTTTTCTTCTCCAAGACATGAGAGACTATTTGTTTCACCCCTAAAAAGTCCATTCAGACTCATGGAGGTCACCCAATTCCCAGGCCAGAATCATCCAACTTCAAATCCAACATGACATCCATGACCTAAAGGAAGTTCAGTTTTAGATGCTAAACAAGCTATTGCCACCAACATTAAAACAAAGAGCAAAAAGAAGCAGAGCGAATCAAACCTAAATGAGAGAGAATATGCAAATGGGACATGCTGCTCACCCCATAGCCTGTGGTGCCAGAGTCTTACAGTTGTTGTTTTTTAGCTGTGCACTCAAAGAAGCAATCTTGAGTTATTGTAATAAGGCTGGGTTGGGTCATGAGGATACAAATTCAGGACACAAGAAGCAGTTGGATCTAGTTTGGGAGCTTAAGGGGTTATGCGAATTGTTTTTGGATGTGGCCATAATTACTCAAGTGCTTTATTAGATTAGTGGTGGAGATGGGCTCATAAAGATATGTCCATACTCCATGCTGACAGAATGTTACACTGGTGGAAACAGAAACGTGCTAATGAATTGTGGGTGCCTTCTACAATTTAAAGGACAAAATCTACACATTTAATTCACCTTGAACAAACTCAGGCTCATTAGTGTTTTTAAACTGTCTGGAACAACACAGGTAAGACCATCAAGGATCTGGCACATAACACACTACAGCTGATTTTAAGTTAATTAAAACTCAAATTCCAAAATTTTACTTGCAGCGTGATAACCAAGAGGGAATTTCAATGCTAAACACACCTGCGCCCTTTTGCCCAACTTTACGCACACAAAATCTATCGAATAAAAAGAGTGCTTGGCTGGGTTTCCTCCTACTCTGTCATCTTCCGTGCTGAACACTTCACACGGTAGTTTCAGATGCGCTCTTGCTGTGGGAGGAAGGCGTGATCTTCCGCATTGTACCTGCTGCATGTGTGCGCGCGGAGCAGAAACGAGAGCGCACTGAGACGTCCGGTACACAGAGCGGCCAATATGCGGCTTGACACTGCATGTTGAAATATGGTGAAACAGCCCCCTGAAAGAGGAAATGTCATTTTCTATGTGTGAAGCTTCTTTGGAGAGTTGAGTACGAATAAGGTAAGCGAAGCACGTATATTTTATTTAAGTACAAATTAGACAATGACGTTGGTTTCATTGTTCGTTGTTTAAAATGTAAATAGTAACTGGTTTTCTCCTGTAAATACAAGTGCACCACGTTGAATCATCGCTGTGTAAACTGACGCCCTTTAATTAATTATTGTGAATGATGAGTAGTTGAACTGCCTAATTCATTTTGTACCTTCATTTAGTTAATACGATAGCCCAGGCTGGACAAATTATCACTGGTCAAATGATGGCACACCCATGCAAAGACTTCTAAAGTACTACTAAAGTACTGCTTCTGTTCTTGAGATGTAGGAGCTCCAGAAGTAGCAATTAACAGGCTTTTCAAATATTTACAATGGGACTTTTCAGTAGTGAGAACCTTTAAAGTGTTGGTTTGATCTTTTCTGGTGGAGAGACAAACAAAAGCAACTGTGCTCTCATAGAAATATTTCCTACTTTCTAAAATGAAAAAACAAAACAAAACAAAAAAACAAAAAAAAAACCCTTAAAAATACTTAAATAGTGCAAATAAATTTAGTCATTAATCTGATAAATCAAACCACACCCAGGCTTTACAAAGAATGACATAAATAGAAGTTCAATACACTTTATGTCACTTTTCTGGGGGAAGTTCAGCCAACTGTGTCAATGGCTATGCTATTCTTTGACTGAAATATTGAAAAAGTGTTACCCTAAATTTAATATACTTTCAGAAACAGTGAAGAGTGAAAGGCATAGATTTGTAACTTGGCCTTAGGAGGCACCTGCTTGTCCCCAAGGAATTTAATAAATTTAATGCTATATTATGCTGTGGAACACCTCCATTGTGACAGGAATGTGGAAAAGTTACATAATGCAAGTATTTTTTATCAATTCTTTATTTATTTATCAGGTAAAATGAAGGACCGACTGTTGGAGCTGCAGGGTCTAAAGTTGGAGGAAGAGGAGCCCAGGTCTAATGAAAGACATGACGCAAACAGTGGGGATCCTGATGAGGTTCCACTGCAGCAGCATGCCGTGGTCTTCCAGGGAGAGGATGTCATGGATGGCATCTACAAGGACGCCCAAGCCATGAGGAAAGAGATGTTCCTTCTCAAAATGGACGTCAAGCGCTTGGGAAAACAAAATACCAGATTCCTGACGTCGGTGCGGCGAATCAGCAGCATCAAACGAGACTCCAACGCTTTAGGAAAAGATATTAAAGCTAGGGGGGAAGCCATCTATAAACGTCTGGAAAATCTGGGCAAGCTGAGCAAAGAACTGGAAGAGAAACAAGGCCCAACTTCAGCCGTGGTTCGAATGGTGAGATCTCAATACGTATCTCTAACCCGAGAATTTCACGAAGCCATGTCTGAGTAACGAAGCCGAGATGGCCCAAAGGGAGAACTGCAAAACACGGATACAGCGGCAAGCGGAGATCATGGGCAAAGAGGTGACCAGGGAGCAGATAGATGAGATGATCGAGACTGGGAAGTGGAATGTGTTTTCGGACAATCTCCTGTTAGAGGGGCGGAGCGCAAAATCGGCCCTGAACGAGATCGAGATCAGACACAAGGAGTTACTGGACCTGGAGAGTCGCATCCGGGATATACATGAATTGTTTTTCCAAATGGCGTTGTTGGTTGAGGAGCAGGGGTGCATGATAAATAATATAGAGGCTACTGTGTGCGCAACTGAAGACTATGTCGCCAATGCCACAGAGCAGATTAAGAAAGCAGTGAGATACAAGAAGAACAATCCATGTAAAAAGCTCTTCTGTTGTTGCTTTCCGTGTTGTAATTAGAAAAGAAAAGACACAAAAAGACACACAATCCAATGTTTTATGTAGTTACCAAAACAGCACTGAGGATTTGAGCAACCCTGACAAACTGTGATGACTTGGTTGATGCTATTATCCTAGTTCTCACGCCAGATGTTGTAGCTTGGATTGCAACGTTAGCGCCTAATGGACAATTTTCAGTTCAAATGCGTTTACATTGCATTGATAATTAAATCTACCAACATCTGCTTTTCTAGTCATAATGAAATCAGCTTGAAGCGTAAGACAGCCCCTTCTGCATCCATCTGTGTTTGCCTGCACATTAGGATGATGGATGTGATATCTGATAAAGGTGCTTCAGTGACTCACCTGGTACGGCGTGTTTACACAGGGCCCGAGCTCAGACTGGAGTTCATAAACATGTCAGGGCATCTATCTCTTTAAAAGTTTATCCACAGTATAAGTACCGCTTACTACAAACACAATTCTTACATACAAAATAAGACGTACATTTTACATCTTAGGGGGTTTTCACGAGTTTCATAATGTCCACATGAAAATCCAACGACATAGCCTTTGTAACTTTGTAACTTGGTAGGTGTGCCAGTAAAGTATGCAGCAGCACAGATATGCAACTCATAATCTAGCCGTTTACTTTGCATTTCCTTTATTTGTTTATAGTGGAAACCTACTAAGAGAAATAACAGAAAATACTGAATACTGTTACAAGAGAATTTATCAAGAGTTATTTTACATTTTACCCAATTTCCACATATTTTTCTTTGGTCATTACAGCAGCACAGACACACAGTTACAATATAATGCTTTATTTTGTACTTATTTTATTGTATTTATTAGGAAATCCTTAATGAGTCTTCACTTTTTTCTTTTAAAACAGAGAATGAATATGTAGGTTGGCATGGCACTTCCCAACACTGTTATCTCAGCAACCACAAATTTATTTTTTGTGTCAGGGTTGTGGTATTTAGTTTCATTTAGTTTCAAGTTCATAGTTGTAGATTTTTTCAGCCCTTCCCTATTGAAGCGTGAAGACCTACTTCTATTTTGATCAGGTTTTACATATATTTTGCATAGCTGCTGTATAAAATGGTTGTTCATATGTTCTACAACTTTGACTTGAGTCATACAGTATTTAAGATTTATTTCAAAATAAAACCTTGTCTTAATTGTTTGGAGCCGTTGATAATTGGGAAACATGAAACTGGAAGTGGCGGGTAATGCAAACTGTTGCTAAACATGTCTTGTCTTTAGTAAAGAGCCACACATCAGATGTGGTTTCCTCTGAAGGTTAAGAGGAGATTTAGTCACTAGATGCCTAGAGCAATGGTGTAAGTATGGTGTGTGTATATAGGAACTGACTACAATTACTCACCCTGTATAAAAGGAAAGGAGCCATTATTTAAAACTTAAGAACAGAAATAGTGACAAGATTCACAAATATCTGTTGGACTTCTCAAAACTAACAACATTTAAAGTTTCTTGTAGAATTTTTTTTTTCTGGCAAAGATCTGAACAAAAGAATTACTTGAGTATTGAATATAACTCCAGCTGAAATAAATAAATAAAAAATCTTATGTACAACTACTACATTTAGGCCTAGTGTGCCTAATGTGAGAAGCCAAATATTTAAAATGAATGATTACAGTCCCATAGGCCAAAATTCCTGATGCCCTAATTTGACCAGAATCTTTGATGGAGTGACAGACAGAGCCTGAGACCAGCTGGGACTCACAGATAAAACATTTTCACCTATTTATAGGCTTTTTAGAGAAAACTAGATAATCAGATATTTCCATACCAGGAGTGTGGTTCGAACCCAAGAGGACTATTGATAATTAGATCATAAGTCCAACGCATCCATTATTGTGTGTTTAAAATGCCTCAGTCAGGTGATCTAGTGGCAATCTAGACTACTACAGACTTCCAGTCTGACTGCCTGTTATGACTGATGGGCCAGTGAACAGGAAAATGGACAAGAATGGTTTATTCGAGTTAACAGGTGAGCACAGGTGAGCACAGGTGAGCTGGAGGTAAATAAAGTTAGCCTACATCTGCCGATGATCTGCTGTTCAAACAGAAACCACTCTGTGCCTCAGGAGCGTCCACGTGCGCTTCTGTTGTGACACCGGCTTCAGTGTTGACAAATGTGACCCTAATGCACATACCACAACCTAATGAGGATTAAAAATGTGCGGACAATTAGAAGTTTAAACAAACATATGTGCAATATTGACCTAATAAATGCAGTATGTCTAAAATCTTATACATGAACATGATGAAGTTTTCAGAAACAGATTAAGCCCCGATGTGATATTCACATTTTTGGGAAGACTGGTCAGCTTTTATGCACACAATTTAAAGTGCGTATTTCATTAAAACAAATAATACAGAAAGTAAGCTTTGGTTTTGTGTAGACTACATCTTCAGCTCCATCTAGTGATAAGAAATGTAAGTACAGTCAAGTCCAAAGTGTTAATGCTTCTTCTTGGGTTTAAGGGGCATGATGGGTCCAGACCAGAGTCCAGACTAAAGTAGATCCTAAAGGATAACACATGGGGCCCATAGGCTAATGCCCAAATATCTCCCACTGTAGTAGGCTCTTGTGTAAAGTAGGGCCTGTATGGGTTTAGTCTCCAATAGAAAATCTAGTATAACACAGAATCAATGCTATGAATAAACTGTAAAACAAATAATAATAAATAATGAGGTCTCATATCAGACTCAAATAGTGTTTATTTGAATTCATATAATAGGAAAAAACATTTGATGAAAGACCTTTTGCAGGGTGCAGAGCCAAAGAGCATCTTAGAAAGTTAAGATACTCTGTGAAAACAATGTAAATTTAATGCTAAAGACAATGTAAGCATCCAAAATGTGAGACTTTGATAGATAAAATCAAGTGTGTTGTAGAAGCTCACATCATAGAGTTCATCTTAAGGAGAACTGGTGCAGCTCTGACACAAACTCTTTTGGACCTTGGACCACTTGAACCTTTTTGTGGTCAACCTCAAGTTCACACTGGCCCCTCCTTTTCCTCTGGATCACAGTTTTTCCCTCCACAGGGACACAGGTGTCAGTGTCTACAACAGTATGATCATTAGTGAAAACTGGTTCAGAGTATCTACAGTGTGTCTACATAAACACACCAGTTTGTTGGCGCACATATACTGTGTGTATTTATAGCAGATTCACAAAAATGTTAAAACATTTAACATAAACCTGAGGGGGTTTCAAACGTATTTTCAAGAATGAATTTTGAGTGTGAAGTCCCTCTCTGGTCCCTAAATCCTGACATACTTGGACTTTTTGCACTGTTTTCATGCTCAGAGGTCCAGTGCCTCTTTGTGACTCATAGTGGCCTCGTTGTCTCTAATTTGATTTAGTTTTGCTGAAGTAAAGTGTGTCTGTTCTCAGCAAGGGTTTGGTTTGGACAGGCAGAATCATCAGCCAGGCTCTCAAATGTTCTCATGATGACATACAACATAACATCACTATCATATTTCTTTATTTATAAATGTATACTTACAATGAATATAATTGTTAATGTATATAACATTAAAGGATGTCATTCCATCTGTTATCTTTTGAAAGACAAAACATTTCTGAAACACATTTTAGTTCATTGTTTCAAAATGTGCACAAAAAACAACAATTAGTAAATAAATAAATAAATAAATAAAATAAAAAAGACATAAAAGTAAAGAAATATTGAAATGTGGTCAAAATACAACACAACACAATACAGAAATACTACAAATGTGGTTCTTGAGTCAGATTTCAACTGCAGAAATCTATTCTTCTGCAATCTCTTGGGTGTAGATTTGTATTTTATTCTTGTGCATCCAAAGTTTCATTTCAATTGTTTGAGACAAGAAAACAATTTTGTGCTAAAAATTCTATTTTAAAATTAAACAACATAGGCAATGCCATAATTGTGACGTTAGGGGGCGACCATTGCTCACATTTCAGAGTAAGGTCCAGCAAGATGGTGATTCCTGTTGTGTCTTTCACAATAAAACATTACAAAATCCACTCCAGTGTTTGCTGATTTTTGTATTAATCAGGCATGAGTGTATTGCTAAATCCAGACCACTAACATGTAACGTTTTGATCAGCTAATGCAAATAGCACGGCACTATGAAATAAAACATACAAAAACGTGCATCTTATTGTGTAAAACCAAATAAGAGTTATAAACAGAGGAAGCGGGACATCTTAAGTCATGCGCACTCGTGACATACACGTTCATCTCAGACTGCACGCACATTTTAACAGTGTTTGTTACTGAAGTAAACTTTATTTGCAGATATGGGGATTGAAGCCTGGTACATGGACAGTTCTGAAGAAGACCAGAGAAAACCGCACAAACTGACCCCAAACCAAACAGTCTCTTTGGAGGATTTACAAAAGCTTGGTGTATATCACTGGAAGGTAAACAAACAAAAAAGATCTTAGACCTTACACTTGTGCATCTGAATGCCAATAAAGTCTATCTAAATCTAAGTAAGTTTAGAAAATACTGTCACTTTTATTCAGCAAAAAAAACAACATGTGAGTTTTTGCAGTATCCATTATTACATAGGCCTGCCATTTAGTTTGCCTAGTTTGATTGCACTTTGATTTCCCAGTTACATAACTCTTGTACTAAAAATAAATAACTCATAAATGTTTAGCTCAATTCCTTGCTCTATTTTTTTGACATTATTTAATCTATTCTTTCTTGTTTGCAGTTAAATGCTGATATCTATGAAACTGACCCAGAATTAGTGAAAATACGCAACGAGCAAGGATACACCTATATGGACATCATCACTATTCATAAAGACACACTGCCCAACTATGAGGACAAGGTATGTGTACAGTGTTAATTCCTTATTTAATTTGTGCAACTTGATCTGATTTCTCTGTAATTATTGCTTTTAGCAACAGCAACAATATTATCTTTTTGTAAATAACGTTTATTCTGATGTTTTTTCATAAATGATAAATGATCAAAATAAATAAAAACAAAAATCGATCATTCTGAAAAGGAAAAATCTTTACCTCTATTCTTTCAGCTAAAGATGTTCTTTGAGGAGCACTTGCACCTGGATGATGAGATTCGTTACATTCTTGACGGTCAGGCCTACTTTGATGTTAGAGACAAAGAAGACCGATGGATCCGGATCTCCATGAGCAAAGGGGACCTGATCACTCTTCCCGCTGGCATCTACCATCGCTTCACTCTGGATGAAACTGTGAGTTGGGCTATACATTGTATCACAATCAAATCAAAATTGCAATTGAAAATAGTGCAATAATTAAAGGCTCCAATTATTTTGGTAACAGAATATCCTTGATAAACAACAACTTAATGAAGAAAAGATCTCTATAAGCATAAAACTCAGTATAATTATTAAAAGGCCATTCCTGGGTACCATCCAAGGAAGTAATGATGCTGATTGTCATTTTGAGAATCATGCTAAAAGCATTTCAGTGTACTATAGATCTTTTTTTTTTTTTTTTTACTTTTTTCTTTCTTTCCATAGAACTACACCAAAGCCATGAGGCTGTTTGTGGGAGAACCGGTTTGGAAAGCCTACAACCGTCCTGCTGACGATTTTGACATTAGAAAGAAGTATGTGGCTTCTTTACAAGGATCCTGAATTTTTATTTATTTTTTTATTTGCTCATTAAAATGAACATGACAAAACAGGCAATTCAGTGATTTCCATATTTCATGTTGCTACTAGTTTAAGGTATCATTCACTACTTTGTTTGTTTCTGTGCTCTAGACAAGGTAATGAATTATTCTAGACTTTATTGTTGGTGATTTTGGCTTTGGCTGTCAAATTAAATAACACTAAACTCCAAGATACATGCCATATTAGAGTGCCTTTTCAGCTGCTGACTGACAATGAAAACAATGAGACTGCGCTTTAGTGCATTTTTGGTTTAATGAAAAAGAAAGTTTATTTAGATTAAACATTTAATTTTCTTATATATATAAATATGATTATGTAAACATTAATTAAAGACTCACCAGCACAAATCAATAAAAGATATGACATTAGGTCAAACAATCTGCAATGTACAATACAAATCTGCATTTTACATTCTCCATAGTGGGAAATGTAATCTGGGTGAGTTGTTTACTTTCTCTACACATGGCTTAATAAACTAATGAGGAACAGACAGCTGAAATCGAGTGGTCTTTGACAGTTAATCCAGTTTTACAGGTGTCTGCTGTGCCGACAGGAGGAAGAAGCTTAAAACAGGACCTCTGTGGACATTTATTAGACTTTAAGCACACTGAAGCTCTGGATAATGCCCGTGTCAAGTCTCACATTATGAGGCTGAAACTCCCTTAAAACCACTGCCAATCTGTAGTGCAATGAACAGGTCTGCTCTGAGCCCTGTTCAACAACTTTGTCCTGCTAACTTCTGGTGCATTTCTGATTAAGAACTGAGAAATGCATTTTTCAAATACCACCAAGTATAAAACTCTTATTCCCTTGTTAAGCATGAAGCTGGAGCCTTTGCAACAAACTAGAAGGTAACATCAAAATGTGTTGGCTCAAAATATAATTAATAAAATGTGATTTAAAGTTTCATGCCACATTACTGCTGTATCAGACTGGTGTGATATTTTCAGTTACGATGAAATACCATTACTGCTCACTCATTAATATTAACTTGATATTATTAAATCAATACCATGTTAACATTGGTGGTGAAAAATGCCTCCTGTATGATGTGTCATAAAATTGTGGGTATTTTTATATGCTTTGTTTCAACATCTCCACCATTATCAAATTACGACAAATACACCAAACTACCAACTTTTGGCCCTAAATGTAAATTTCAATTATTCTTCCCAATACATAATTATCTTATTTCACTTGAAGTTTCAGCCAGTTTCTTAATGGTGTGCCATGATCATCTTCAAAATGCTGAAAAGTTGATATTTAAAACTAGGAATTAGGGAAGCATTTACATGGTTTGCAATATAGAGCAGACATGTACATTATCTTACAGAGTCCTTTCAAAGTCCACTGATGACCACAAAAAGAAATGGCTTTTGATATGTTTTTAAGCTAAACCTTATCAACGTATCTGTTCCCATTTTAGTCTTTTCCACATTAGAAAAACTAGTGTGTATTTCTTAGACCAGTTTGAGACATTGCGTATTGAAGCTGTCTCCCTCGCGGCTGGCCACTGCCTCCAGGAGGGCCTGCTTCTTCTGGGTGCTGCGTGAGGACTCCAGCTCGTACATAGTGGTGAGGTTGAAAAGGACGCTCTCGTGTAGGTACTGGGCAGGGTCCTGTTGCACCAGGCCCTCCAGCTGACCCAGGGACTCCTTCAGACGGCCTAGATACAGCAAGCATACAGCTGCATTGTTGTTAGCCTGGAAATAAATAAATAAATATTACTGGTTTTGTACACATTTGTACCAAAAGCACATTTCCTCTATTTGTGGTTCTCAATGGTGATACTTGTGTCTTCTAGTTACTGGTCAATTTTAATGTTACTCTACTCTTAATAATAGAAAACATGATGTCATTTGAACAGCAGCATGAGTTTTGGGTTGCCAGATCCTACAATCAAAACCAGTAAGAAAACTAAAATAACAGTGAGTGAATTCTAGAAATTCTGGCCTGTCCATGTAATGAGAATGAACAAAATGTCGCAGTTCAGATTCACTTGTGACTGTAATTCCTTTTTATAAACCAGCAAGAGTGGAGGCTACATACCCTACCTTTAAATTTATTCATTCCTGTTTATCCCATATCATTTTTTTCTGGGGATTAAATTTTATGTATCTTGTTCTAGACATAGTTATGCAGGAAGAGGTCTTTATAAAGAGCACTATGTTTTGTATATTAAAATAGAATGTACTCACCACAGGGTTTTTGGGGTCAATCTGCAATACTTCAGTAAAAGATGAGTGCGCTTCTGCATAATTATTCTGACTGAGGTAGACAAATGCTCTGGAAAACATAGGGCAAACTATATTAGGCATAGTCATAAAAAAGTTTAAAAACTTAAAGAGTTATTTTATGATCATCTCCTTGGTATTGTCTAGCTTGTAGTTGAATAATGAATTATAATTTATTAATTAAACCTTTATAAATAGCCACTCTAGCCCATGTGCCGATCAATATACTTTTATAGGAATTGATCAACAGTCCCTCGCTGCACCAGCTCTGTCTGCAAACCCCTTTAATGTGACCAACTGTGCCGATGATGTCATCCACATATACATTTGCTTTACAGTAATTTAAAGATTTACAGCTTCAGGTCACAAGATCAAGCCCATTTATTTCAGATTAAAAAAAGACATTCTAACATTTTTAAACCATAATCCTGCGATGTATACCTATGTACAGTAGTAATCAAATGTAATGGTATAAAAATGCTGATATGAAAATATTAATATATACATCCCTTGAATTTGTTTTCTTTTGGGGCTGTGAGCTTTAAACAATATATGCAAGCATATAAGGGGATGAAGAGTGAGGAGAGGCATTCACCAACCACTTGGCTAAATGTTAACTGTGTTGCATAATAGCCAAGACATTTATTCATTGTGCATTTTAGTCTATCCTGGCTCCTATCAGAAGTCACCCCAGCAACAAGGTGAGTGTGTGATGTTATCAATCATGGGGCTGTGTGAAGTGAGCATCAGTGGCTGGTTTGAGTGAGAGCCTGTGCCTTATACTTCACATCTCCTCAGGCCACGGCAGCACAGGCGCGACCTCCTGTGCTAAATCACACGCCATCAGGAAGCACAAACCTGAGAAACCCCCTGAAGGCAGACCTGCTACCATCAAGCTATCTCTCCCTCTCCAACTCTTTCTATCTCTTTCTCAGTCTCTCTCTCTTTCTCTCTCTCTCTCTCACACCCCTCACCTGTTCATCACCATGCACGTGCTGTCACCAGGCTGGCTCCCTTTCATCTGGCACGCCTTCTCAACATCCTGGAAGTATTTCTCTGCAGTTTTAACATCTCCGATCTGTTGAAGTAACAGCAATAGATTTTCAATACTGTACAATATGTCTAGTATTGTCCAAGGCAGCTATGAAGCAAAAATGTGTAAAAATGCATCACAAATAAACAGAACTAAGCCTGTAACTGTGTATTAAATAGGAGCAACAAAAGCACGTTAGTTTATTGTTAACAAATCAGAGAGTTGGTAGTACAAACACCATTCAAAGGACATTGTGCCCTTGGGCAAGACACTTCATTCACTTATTTCAGTCACAGTGAGTTTGTTTTTATATTTTTTGACTGAAGAATGACCAATGGGGCTTTCATGGATGATTTCTTTTTAGATTTCTAAGGAACCATAGCTGAACTGATATAAAAGAATGATTTTGATCATTTCCAAAAGATATTTTTGATCGGATGTTATCACAAAGCAAATACCAGTGATTTCAACTGACCTACTGTATAAAAGTATAGTGCACAATAGGGCTGTAGAAAAAGCACTTAAGGGCTCCTATTTAAGGAAGCATGTTAACAGAACATTACCAGCCGCTTAGCCATCCTGCGTCTAGACATGATGTACTCAGAGACAGCGCTACTAATAGGTCACCTGAGTTTTAGCAGCCGCACTTGGTCGATTGCACTTTTATAGCCGACACAAAATGCATGTGGTAATGACCTACAAGTTTCATCATCCGTTTGTATTGTGTCTGTGTGTGTGTACAAAACAAACCTGTAAGAAGATTCGTCCAATGGCACTGAGAAGCTGCACTCTCTGCTTGGGTTCATATTGGATAATGGATTGATAGGTCTCCACAGCTAGAATGTAATCCTGAAGAAAAAAAAGGGATTTAAAAAGTTGGTAGAGGTAAAGCCAGGTAAACAGTGGGAGGCAGGGGCAGGTGGAGGGCGAGACGAGTAGATGAGGGTGTGTGTGTGTGTGAGAGAGAGCGGGCATTAATCAAACATATGGAGTATTAGCAGGGCGAATGTGACCCCGCTCCACGCCTCCTCGCTGCACCGCTACGCATCGCTCAAGCTGTGACTGGACTGCTGAGCGCGCCCAGCCGCAGAGGTCACCCGTGTTCACTACATTTTAGGAGAGTCCTGCTGAAATTTTACACTTTTAATGAACATATCTGAGAAAAATCTTACAGCATACGACTGCACAGTATAGATAATTGGGGGATTTTTTAACCAAAGATATTAGGTAATTTCATACAGCGATTGTTTAGTTTAACAAAAATGTGAACAAAGGTAAATCTGAGTTTCAATATAAGATGTAAAGGTTTTGAAACGGTCCATTTGTGCTCGAGAGTGTAGTTTAATTCGGAGTAGGGCTGCACCATGTATTGCAATCATAACGAAATTTGGCACAATTCTCAATTACCAAAAAGGCTACAGTTATTAAGGTAGTAGAAAAATCTTGTTGTGCCTGAAGTTCAGATCTCCACAAACTGAAATTCATTGGATAGTAGTTTATCAGTTAATATTTCAGTGTGGAGTTGTTTACAATGTGCACTCTGAGGAAAATTTCCCTTTATAAACTACAAAGATAATTGGAATCGCTATACAAGTCAGAAAAAAATAAATTTTTTCCAAATTGTGCAGCCCTAATTTAGAGAATGGTTGAATAAATAATACCGGAGGTGGAATGAGATCATATCAGTGAATCATAGCATTTACATTTTATAAAACAGCATGCTCTTATATGATTTGGTATTTAATCTGCTATGTAAAATTCTTAAGAACCCACTCACATCTTAGATGCATTGCTGTGAAACTGGTGCCTCCTCAACAATAAAAACCTTGTACCCTTTCTTCTCACCAGTAGATGGCACTGTGGCTCTCTGTGGCAGTCTAATGCACATCCCCACCCCAACCCCTCTCTCTCTCCTCTTTCTCTTGCTCTCTCCCTCTGCACATTTCTCTTGTTCCCTCTCTCACTGACCAAGAATCCAATTAGTGGTCAGTCTGGGGGGATTTCACTGTGAATCCTCCACCAGCCTGGCATCAGATCTCAAAGCCCCCCTCCTCCCCCTCTCTCATGCACGCACACACAAAACACACACGCACATGTTTGGGCAGGCGCAAATAGAAGGACACATCCACCCAGCGAACACAGAGGCACACACACACACACACACACACACACAGTCGCACATACCTTCATCAGCAGCAGGCAGTTGGCCATGGAGTACATGACCCGGCTGAGGCGAGACTTCCACAGCTTCAGGGACGCTGTGGAGGAACGGTACACACAAGGGGGTTCGAGTCATTATTTTTGGGCAACTTCCTGTTTTTTTTCTCCCTAGCCTAAATTTTGGGCGTCCTTATAACGTCACCCGATATTTCTGCTCCATCCATCCTTCCCACAGCCCCTCCCCTCTCCCCTCTCCTATCCCCGTTTCCCCGCTCCACACAGGGTTTATTTTAAGGCGAGCTGGTGAGGCAGGAGGAACACACTGCGGCACAGTCTTTTGCCTCAGACAGCGAGCGTGCGGGGCCATTAGTATGCGGCGCTGCACATGTGTGAGAATCTATGTGTGTGTGTGTGCGTGTGTGTGTTGGGGGGGGTTAATCACTCGGTAGGGGTCTGATGTGCGAAGGCAAGGCCCGGCGTTATTGACTTGACTGTGGGCTGTGTGCGTGGGCAGCAGGAGGAGAGGCAGAGGGCACAACCATTACACTGATTTTAGAAAGGGGAGAACGCAGGCAGCACCACCTCGCTTCACACGCATCACACTCACGTCACCAGGGCCAATTTTACCCAATTATAAGAAAAGCATCTCTGTGCATTTAGCGTCACATCTGTCATGTTGTTAGTGCTCTCAAATAAGCTAATTAGAAGGGCTCAAGCAGCTTTTGTAAAGTATGAGACAGAATTTACTTTGGGGAGAAAGGGTTTACATATATTGGACAGTAGCATAGAATTCAAATGTGACATTATTTGGATATGTAAATACACGTTTTCTGTCTTTCAGAACATTAGCAGTTCTTAAAGATAAAAAAAAAAATTCAGATGTGGAAGATAAAACTTGACATGTGCTTCTGGACCCCCATACAGCTGGTTGAGAAACAATGATCATCTATTAAATGTAAATCGAAAGTATAGAGTAATTTTTTAAATTTTTTTATTATGAAATCCTCATTTAATCAATGATCAATCCAACTGTTATCTTTATACATAACATTTTAATAGCTTTCCCATTCGTCCTTTAGCCTAGTTCTAGTCCCTCTTTTGTTTTTCATCATCACCAATCACAGTGCTTTCTTAATATTCTACAAACAGAGCCCTTGGTCACATGGGCAAACAGCAAACAGCATTATGGAGAGCACACCTACCTAAGATTACATGTAGGTGTGTCAAACGCTCTTATTTCCCTGCCACACCGGTGCAGATGTGAGTGGATTGGATAGCATTGATTTGTATCGATCCGGTTGGCGTGGAGGGCTGGGGAGACCATTTGATATTCAACACAAGTACCAAAGCGGCGAGGTGCTAAACACTTTCCGAGCGCCGCATTGGTGTGTGGTTTGGAGCGATCCTGCTGCAGCCCTGCACCAGGTGTGTGCCTCTGACTCAATATCTGAATTACCCACTGGGCCCGCGACCTCACTCTCCTCCCTCAGCGTGATGCAGTCTGGGATGGGGGCCAGCGCTGTTGCCAACTGTCTGTGTGAACGTGCGCATACTTACCTTGCCTATTCTCCTGTGTTAGTGTGATCATGCTGCCGTCCTCTGCCAAGCCCTTCTCCAAGTTCTCCAGAATCTGCTCAGATGGGCAAAAAATAAACTTCTGTAAGGGATACCATGTTAATTCTGTTGATTTAATAATGGGGATTAGAATCTGCATTGAAATGAGTTTCAAACCACGTGGAGTAGTTTCCTTGTCTGAAATTAAAGGTGCTATATAACTTTGCTAGTGGAGGGTCTGCAACCTGTTTCTCACCATGGAGATATCGTTGCCTTGTCTCTAGATTGTTCTACAATATGGCATCAAACTTATCTATTTCCGTGGCAGTTGATGCTACCAGGCCAATTTACAGGTCATGTCTGTGAAATCCTGTTGACGATAAGAATGCATGTTTTAATAAAACACCTATAATAACACAAATGCAAGACAGATAAATTAAAAGCCATACTGCGAAACATTCCAGACACAGCAATAACTATGGATTATAATCTCTATGGAGACAAACAGATGGGGGACCCTCTATCAGAATAAAGTACCTTTAACAATTGTGTCTGTGAATGGGCGAGTGATTCCTTGATGTAAAGAGCTTCGAGTGCCTTGAATGCAGAAAAGCACTATATAAATGTGACCATGTAATAACGGTGAAAATAAATAATACTAAAAACACGTATACTGTAGACTGTAGTCTTATGTCACGTTTTCTTGGGTACGATGATTTGGCATTTTGAGCACTGTTTGGTCTGACTCATTCAGTGTAGTTTGAATACTTTCAACATTTTATATACATACAGAAGACATCAAATATATGAAGTAAGATCTATGAAATTATGTAACAAAGAAAAAAGGGGAAATAACTAAATATATATATATATATTTATTTTTCCCATTCAAATGATTAATTAACCCCCTTTGTTTTGTCAAAATATACTTTTATTCTTTAATTCCATACCTTTCACTTCATATATTTGACGTCTTCTGTATGTATATAAAATGTAGAAAGTAGTACAAATAATAACAATAAAAAATAAACACTGAATGAAATGCTGTGTACAAACTTTTCACTGGCAGTGCACATGGGATACAAATTATGCTAGAAACTAAAGTCCCCTATGGCCTTCTCTCTGGACAGTGTGTAGTTAGGTGCGTATAAAATCATTCTTCACTGAAAGTATATACATATTAAAACAATAAAACATTCATTATGCACAAACAGATGGTCAGTAACTTTTTCACTTTTACCTGAACACATCAACTCTACCCACCTCTGCTGCTCTGAGCTTAAGAATTACCATGTCTAATATTCTTTACGTAGGCGTGGGGTTTAATTGTGTGAATACTACTGCATCTGTGTGTCCAGAGGCTGCTGTAGAGGTTAGGGTGTGTATATACTAACAGAGAGGCAGACAGTTCGGAGAGTGTGCAGCCGGTCCAGGGCCTCCTGGGGCTTGGCCAGGTATTGTGGGAGCTCAGCGTGCAGCAGTCGCATGGAGAACGGCACCATGGAGCCTGTAGAAAGAGAGAGAGAAGGTGCAGAAAGGTGAGAAAGAGAGGGAGGAGGGAAAGATGATAGGCAGGGGAGAAAGAGAGAGGGTGGGAGAAAGAGCGGGAGTGAGAGTAAGACAGATGAGGGAGAGAAAGAGAGAGAGGATGGAGAAACGATAGGGTGAGCAAAGTGGAAAGGAGGGGGACAGAAAAAGAAAGAGAAGACAGTGATGTGGGAGGGCATTAGAGAGAGAGAAAGAAGTGGAGTGGAGGGGGAGAGAGAAAAAGTAAGAGAGTGAGTGAGAGTGGGGGAGAAGGGCAAGTGAGTTGAACAGAGAGAGAACGAGAGGAGGAAGGTAGTGACCGAGAGGAAGCGTGTGGGGATTAGGAGAAGGGAGAAAGAGAGAGGGAGGAGGAGAGGTGCGGGGAAAGGGAGAGAGAAGGAGAGAGAGCGACACGTGGTAAAAAGGGGGAAAAAGACGGAGTAGTGAGGTGGGAGAGGAGAATGAGTTGAGAGGAGGGGGTGAAAAGGAGGGAGATGGAGCAAGAGAAAGAGACAGACAGTGAAATGGGGAGACGGGAAAGAGAAAGAGAGAGACCGACGGGGGGCATTGGGAGGAAGAGGGAGAGAGAGAGAGTGATGGGAGGAGGGAGTGTGAGAGACAAGGAAATAGGAACCAGGGTGGGATGAGGACAGAGCCGGGGAGAGGAACCGAAAAAAAAAAAAAAAAACATTGAGGGAAGGCGGAGAGAGACGAGATGAGAATATAAACCCATCCACCCACACACAAGACTGCACACAGCCCTGGAGGCAGCAACCTACAGATGGCATTGAGCTACGTATGGCTGCTTATTAAACCTCTCATCTGTGTGTGTGTGCAAAGGCAGTGCCATCACTCTTGTCTGCACCTCCATCACTCACACTGTCTCCTCTCTCTCTCTCTCCATCTCTATCTCTCTCACCATCTCTATCTCCATCTTTCTCACCATCTCTCTCACTCACACACACGCACGCACGCACACAAGTGCACAAAACTGGAGGAGCCTATATTCAGGTGAGTCCCCAGGCTTTGATCAGACGCTCTTTGATACCTCCATCAGATCTCAGGTAGCTTGGTCGTCTCTCCACAGCTGCACAGGTATATATCTCTATTCCCATCACTCTGCGTGCTCACTGTGTTCTTTAGCGCCAACACACTTAGCCTCACTGACAGTAGCTTTGCCCTGTATTACATGTTATTAGCTTCTCGCTGACCGCTGCATCCTTCTTTTTTAGCTTAACATCTTATTCCCATTAATTTCAGAGGTCAGCAAGTTTCATCATCTTGGAATTGAAAGTTTGAAATCTAGTTGGGAAGCTTGTGTGCAACTATCTAAATGCAGTTATCCTAAAAACAATCACTAATGAATAAGAGGAAAACAGATATTAAACACAATAGGAGAAATTTGGTGTTGTTGGCATGGGTCCCAATCTACACCTTTTAAAATGTTTTATCATTTTGACTCAAAGCCAAATCTATCGGCTCCAATTTGTGCTCAAAATTATAGGTAGATTTATAAACTCTCCACGCTTTATTAAGAATGTGGTTGCTTAGAATATTAAAATGTACCACACAAAACAGTCATTTGATATGTACGTTAAATACTATTGAAGTACCATATGGAAAGAAAAAAGTGATGCATTATAATCAGGGTGGACAGCTTTGTGAATTCTTTTTACCAACTTGTGAAACCTGAAAAAAGGCATACAACTTATGAGGAGTCTCCTAAGGCTATCCTATTCATGGGAATGCATAAAACTGTAATCTTGTCCAACTTTTAATTTCGCTTACATTAAATATGAGCAGCAAATGCTGACACTCTTTCATGGAGGAAACAAGCCATTTTGTACCTATGCGCAAGGCTAGGCTTTGAGTACAACATTCAGCCATGAACAAAATAGTAAGAACATTTCCTTGTATTAATGTGGCTTTCATCTTTTTAATATGGAACTTTTCAATTGGACTCAACTTTTCATGTGCTGAACAATGAAACTGACATTGACATGTTTTTTTTCTTGTATTCTGAATCTGTGGAGAGTTTTACACGGCCAGCTTGTCTCTTAAGGCGCTCAGAGAGTATGATCGTGGGTAATAGATAGTCAATGCAAGCTCCGCGCTGGAGGATTGTTCGACTTCTGATGCCAGGCTATAAAACTCGTGCCAGTTATGTCTGCAAGCACCTAGCAGGTCACAAAGCGTTTAATATTGAGCAACGGCAAGTCAATCGGTGCGCTGTAGCTTTGAGTACTCCTGTTTTTTTGTTGCTATGAGTGGGTTTGCTGCTTATGTGTGTGTGTGCATGTGTGTGTCTCTGCCGCTGCTGCCTTCACTATGGTAGCCTGAGGGGCGAAGCAGATCCAAAGTAATGGGAATACATTAGAGAGCAATTCATGCAGTGTAAAAGGAGGAAAAACAAAACCAAAGAACTGCTGGAGATGGGGAGAGTTCTCAACAGTGCAGTGTAATATCACGCTCCTGGCAGAAACTTTCTTTTGCATATTTAATAGGGCGATGGTATGCATGTGTGGTATCCTATAAGAGTGGGTAAAACACATTTTGGAGGCCAAGTTGGTTAAATAAAAGGAGGAAACAACTAAGGATATGTCAAAATATGATGAAACTTTGCATAGATTTACAAAAAAAGAAAACAAAAAAAGTAGTAGCATGATGTGGTGTGGGTGTGCGTACCTCTCCTTCCAGGGTAAACATTGGGGTAGTATTCATAGTAAAGGTCTGGTTGGTCCAGATTGCCAAAGGGTTCAAATTCCAGCTCGGCATTTTGGAAGAGGTTCAGCTTGGTCAGTAATGCCAGCCGCACAAACCAAAGCTGTAACATAAGCAAACACAACTGAATTTATTCATTCAAAACATACATTTATTTGTATAGCTCTATATCAGAGGCTTTACCAATAAAAAAAGCGCCTGGGGTATCAATCAAATGCTAAAACTGAATCCAAATATAATAGTTATATTTGGATGCAAAGCAAAATTTACCATTATCAGTATAGGCTGTATGCAACAAGCCTATGGGGGTAAGAGTGGGAAGAGACATTCAGGAAATTGTAAAAGCTGATCTTGATACGGAGGTTGGCATACAGCCTAACATCCATTTAGCATTTATTCCTACTAGAATATCCCTTAATAAATGCCCTTTGAGGAAAAAAAAAATTGGATGAAGACCATATAGAAGCAATTTCCGGGAACACAATATTTTTGTCCAATCAGGCACATTATTGGATGAGAACCATGTAAAGAAAAAAACAAAAAAAACTTGTGAGTCCCAGACAGTTGTAAGTTCATCATGGTACAAAATAACTGAGAAAAGTGACGAGTGTTCTTCTCTCATGGTTTGGCACAAGGTCTTTATATATAACGATGCTGTGCTATTTCTCAGTCCCATAAACAGAGCAGACGATGCGCACAAATCCTCAAGAGTGTGTAGCCTATATGCATTTGGATCTTGGCCGAGCCAGTTGAGCTGCGTTCTTATCTGATGCAGCTGAAGCCAGACGCCCCCCCTGACCCAGAGAGGACACATCTGACAGGTCCAGAGCCCATAAGGAGAGAGTCCTGTGACCCAGCCTTCACTCTGTATCAGCACTGCACTACCTTCTGTCATCAACACACACACACGTGGATAACAGAGGAGAGCAAGATGCACAGAGGGGTGAGGCTAGGCATTTAGCATTTCATTGATGAGAAGCAAAAACGTATGTGTTGATAAAGATAATGCTGAGTAACAGTGTAGTTTAGAAAATGAAAGTTTACAAATAAGATAAACTCCATCTAGCAAGAAACCGCAAGTAGCTAGGATCAACTGTTAAAGAAGTTTTTTTTTACTTTTGGTGGTTGGCAAAACAGAAAAAGAAAAGTTCAGAAACTTGTAACATAACAAAAGTAAACCCTGATAAATGTCCCCTGGCCAATTTTACATGTTATACTGTACATTTGTAATCATATTTCTATACTAGTTTTAACAAATTCTATTGGAACTATTGGAAGAAAGCCGCATTAGCAAAGCTAAAAAGTAAATTAAAAAGTATTTCATTGTTTGTAAAACTTGACAAACTTTGACATGAGGCTATGTAAAATATGCTTTTAGCCATGTTAAAAGTCATCTCCTCCTATATCCGTTAAGCTAATCTTCTGGCACCTTTATAGCTCTACCAGACTGGAAAAGTTTCACGCAGTGCCAATGTCCTGTGGGTAAAGAGTGGGTGGTTAAAGTTGTCCAGTGTTGTCCACAGCTAACTTTGTTTATCATACTCAATATCACCAACGGAGTCATTTCTTTTTATTGACCCTTTGACAGTTCAGGGCAGTATACACCACCATTTTAAAAAGTCTGGAAGGAATGCAAATGTAAAACCAAGAGCCATAAGTGAAAGTATTGCATAGCCCCAAGTCTTAAATGAGATCCTTCCATCCATTCTTCATTCTCTGTACAAAAAAGATTCTTGTAATGAACAAGATAATAAAATAAAAGTTCTAGTCTGTTCTCACACTACTTGGGCTTGAGTTTTGAGAGTATTTCTTTTTTGTCAATTTATTATACAAAGTGTTGGCCCCATCATCATTTATTGAAAAAATATATTTTAATTTTGATGTGTTTCAAAATCAAAGAGAAAATTACTACAACCATAACCAGCATTGTCTACAACTCTATTCAACCTCTGTGTGACTCACATTTGGGTTTTGATCTATTATTTGGTGATCTTTTATAATAAAACTAATTAATTAATTCATCAGTAACACAGAAACTGAAAATGCTTTCTTTATATGCATGTTATCGCATAATGCACTTTTTATTTTTTGGCTGCTACTCTACTGCATTGGTGTGTGCCCAAAAAGCTCAGCTCCCACTATTCTACTCGCCCACTGGTTTCAGGAAGATGGACAGAGCCCTGAATGGTCACTGGCGTTGTACCTGCAGAGAGTCGGTGGTGTGGGAGGTTGCCTGGCCCGCTTTCCCATATCCCTGACCATGAGCTGTCAGCAGCCGGCCCGTCAAGTCCACCGCCGCACGCCAGTTCTTAGTGCTCTGCAGGGGAGAAGACACATACATAACATACAGTCCGCTCCAAACTGACAGGCGGAGGGAGGCAGGGAGCTGGGCCTGTGGCTAAAACTGTGCTGTGGTAGCTATCTTAAACTTGATGTATGGCAACATGGGCAGGCAGACACTGTACTAACAGGAGTCTGTGGAAGTCCAGACTCAGTATAGCTGCACTACTAGTATGTGGATGAGTTATGTTGTCCTCCTCTAGGGTTAAACACTAGTATTTTAACCTTTAATTTTCAAATAACCATTGCTGCAAATAGGAGATTGAGTTATTGTAAACAATCATCAAAAATATTTTTTTTCATCAACATAAATAGAAAAATGCTTGATCAACATGGCAACTTTTAAAAACTAAATAATTATTGATTGATTAATTATTTATTTCCCTAGTTGAGGTAGTTTACCAAGCAAGGAATTCTATGGGTCTGAACTTGCTGAAAAAAATAAAAAATAAAATAAAATAAGCCATATTAAAATTCAAACCTGCTCAACAGCACAAAGCACAGAGGACCAGTGCTGTGTCCATGAGATGGATGAGGAGTATGGACTAAAAATGCTAAATATAATAAATTTCTACTGGTGGCGATTTGTGTCTTTTAGGTCAGTTTCATTAGTGTGATTGGTGTCTTGGTTGTCATCGTTCAGGAATATTGGTTTTTAATATGTTAGTTAATGAGATAAAAGGGGAAGATGCTCAGAATGATTGACAGCTATAATAACCATTAGCTGCCATTAGTCTTCACTGCCCCACCTCCTCAACTCAGGAATGACAGAGGAAGGCTTTTTGCATTATGTATTAAACATGTATTTACATTTCTTTAAGTTCACAGCAGGCTGCAGCTCTTTGCCAGCACACCATTTGCTGGCACACTATGGGCTGTATGCAGTGGAGGTATACCATTCAGTAATAAGCAAACCGTCACCATAGAAACATGTACTATAGAGGACTGAGCATTTTAAGCCATAAGCACTGATTCATCTTTATATTACATGCAACACAATATACTGACAGTGTAGTTAAGGCTAGGAAAAATCTTTTCACCCGATATAAATTCTATAAAGAGTGTTGCATCTAATAATCTAATAAGATGCAAGTTGATATTATTTATATGACTAGTAGAGGTGTAACGATATCCAAGTCTCACAATACGATAACGTCACGGTATGAACCTCATGGTATGATATTTATTGCGATATTGTGTGAAAGTTCACGATATGGTGGGGAGACTTGATTAAGGATAACAATATCCAAATCTCTCGATACGATATTTTCACGATATGCATCTCACGGTACAATATTTATTGTGATATTTTGTGGAGGCTAACAAAACTGTTAATATGCTACTTTTTCCTCTTAAAATACCTTGACAAGACTTAATCCAAACAACTCACAACTAAAAATTGCTAAGAAATGTTATTTATTCATGAAGTCTACACTGAAATGGAGCAAAGAATCATGGTCTATGTAGTTCCTTCTGTCATTTTTTTGGCTATTGCTGCATCATAATTCTTCCTTTAAACAAAGAGACTTGTAATTCAATGTATTGTGATGGTTCATGATATTATTGTGAGAACTTTGATAAGATATCACAATATTTCGATTATTGTTACATCCCTAATGACTATGTAGTTATTAGTTCATTCATTATCCTGTAGTGCAGTGAGTACCACCTAAGAACCAAACCAGGTATAAAGTAGGACTACACCATGATATAAGTATCCCTAAAAATAAATAATAGACCAACAGAGAACTTCCAGTACCACCAAAAAAATCCTGGGTACAACCAGTGGTACGCGCACCACAGTTTAAGAAATGCTGCTGTAGCTCCTACTTTACGTTATGCATGCATACACAAAATCATGTAAAAGAGAGGAATTATTCAGAGACAATATCAATACCAAAAGCTGACGCAGGTGTGACTGTCTCTCTGTTTGCCGCGTGTGGCAGTGCTTCTCACACAAAAAGCATGTGGACAGGTAGATAATATTCCTGACATCTGCTTCCTCGGGAGGGGGTCCACTAGGTAAGACGGGGACAGGGGCGGGAGGGGCCGCTGAGTCACCCTACCCCATCAACACACATGACAAGGTCGGCTCTGTGATTGGGCCTTAAGTGCTGTGCCATTCATCACAGTGGAGAGCTAATTAGGAGAGAGAGAGGTGGAGAGGGAGAGAGAGACAGAAAAGAGAGGAAGAGAAGAGAGAGAGGAAGGGAGAGAGAAAGAGAAGGCGACTTTCTTTGTACTTATCTTCATCACAAAACACATAAGCTGCAGCACACAGGATCCATCTCCTCCACTGCACTCTTAGACCCCTTCACCCCTTCATTCCTCTAGTTCTTCTATAGCCTCATTTGTACACTCCCACTATTAAAAGAGCCAATTACTGCCCAAGTATTTTTTGTCTTGTAGTGGTTATTGTTGAGTAGCTGTGGTCAAACTGAAAATAGAATCTCTATTGTTATACCATACCAATTTAAAAATATATAAATACGACCAACATGTCTTACTGCATATAGATGTAAAATATGTATTAGCAAGTTTATACTTTAAAAGCGTTACGTAACTCCAGGCCAAGTTACAGGTCAGATCTGTGAAGAGGAGACCCTGCTAACAGTAAGAGTACATATTATCCAATAGGGACGTAATGATATCCAAGTCTCACGATACAATATCGTCACAGTATGAACCTCAAGGTACGATATTTATTGCGATATAGGAAAGGTCACGATTAGAGGTGTAATAATATCCAACTCTCTCAGTTTTCACGATATATATCTCACAGTACGATATTTACTGTGATATTTTGTGGACGCTAACAAAACTGTTAATATGCTACTTTTCCCTCTTAAAATGCCTTGACAAGACTTAATCCAAAGAACTAACACTTAAAAGTGCTTAGAACTATTATTTCTTCTTGTAGTCTGCACTGAAACTTAGCAAAGGATCATGGTCCATGTAGTTCCCTCTGTCTTTTTTTAGATATTGCTGCACCATCACTTTTAATTTAAGCAAAGAAACTCAACAATATATATATATATATATATATATATATATATATATATATATGCAGGATAGACATATTTAATTACATACTGTGGAACATTTTTGAGAGAGAAAGAATAAAACCTCCACCAGAAAGGTTAAACAGAACACCTTTATACTGCAACCAAAACCTATGCTCTCTTTTCCCCAAGGCTTGACTTTGATATTTCCTGAAACTCCTTGTACAAACTATTCCTTCCCTATTGTGGTTTTCATTGAGCTTCCGATTCCGCATTTGGACAAGCGCATCCCACTGCGCACTACACTGGATCCATCTCTCTTCCGCCTGTCCCTTCTCGCTCTTCTTCTGCTCCTCTGTCCTGCCCTGTGCCAGTCGCTCGCTGCCTCTGAATCTTCATTAGGGAAGGAAATGAAGCTGAAAACGAGGAGGCTGCCTGGATGGCCAAAAGCAGCTGCACTCACTCACACACACACAGATATATATACACACACGCACGCACACACACACACACACGCACACACGGTACAGTGAGCTAAAGTATGCCACTGCCCCGCCATGAGGCAAAGAGGAGACAGGTGTGCAAAAGGCAGAGGGAGTGTGGGAGACAGTAACTCCAACCCTACATGCATACTCCAGACAGCCGAGACAGAGCGCAGAGCTGGGATGAGAGTGTCAACAGTGGATATGCAGGATTTGTGTGGTAGAGATCTAGTCAAAAGTTGGCCACAGAGGAAGAAAAGTCTGGACCAAAGAGTTGGATGGAGGGAAAGTAAGAAGCCGTGGGTAGTGAGTGAGGAGGAGAGAAGAGGAGAGAGAGGGAGAGAGGGGGAGAGAGGGAGAAAGCTGAGGGCCATGGATACCACACAGAGGGAGTGCAGAGAGAGGTAGGAATATTAGTGCTACAACTTCATGAACACCATGGGTAAAGAAAGAGAAGCCTGTGTGTCTTACTTGATCAAAAAGGAACGCTAAACAAGATCATTTTCGTAAGTAGTCGATCATGTAATCCCTCATTCATCCAGAAGTGGTCCACAGTATTAGTCATCTGACAATGTTTTTGCAAATCGGGAGGTTTCGGCTGCTATTCAGAAGCCATTATCTATTTGATAATGATTAGTAATTATTTTCAATATCTCATCACTGTGGTAGGCAGGTAGCTACTGGAACATTTTTAGCTATACCCATCTGGAGGAGGCTTGGACAGGACCATCTTAGCAGAAACCACCGTATCACCTAAGTAGAGGTGAGAGATAATAAAATTGCTATCAAACTAGTTTTGTAGATATGCAAAATTAGAATATCAAGTATATTGTCTATAAGAAAACCATAAGCAAGCGTAAGGAACAGAAACATGCAGATAAATCTTCTAAATATGGATATAAAGTGACATTTCTGCACTTTGGAGTTGAATTTCACAGTTCATTCACTTGGAGCGTTGACAAACAAGCATGTCTGGAACACTGCAGATGCTATAATATTCTGAATTTTGGCATTATAAAAATAAAATAATATCTATAATATTGCACACCCCAAGTTTCGATTTTGTTTCGTTTCCAGAAAATGTATGCCACTGAGATAATTTACAAGTTTCACTATTTAAAATTTCTCAACAATTAGTTTTAGTTGAAATTAGGAAATTGCATATGTCCCTCCATACTGACAGGACACATTCTTCATCACCAAACACATTTATCCCCAGGTCTATTCTTCATTTAATATCACAGCTATAAATCACCATGGTAATGCCTCCTCATTTGATTTAGGGGGAATCTGATTATCCGTTATTGCGGAGTCATTTGAGCTGCTCTAAATTATTAATCACCATTCGTCTATTGTTTTTCTGTTTTTTTGTCCTCCCACCACCACCTTCTGTGTTAATTGAAATCATTCCAACCTGAGGAGTGACAGCGGGGTTTAGTGCTTGATGGCATTCATAGTAAAAAGCCCCTCATCAATTTATCATTTTGCCACAT